GACGTCATTGATGTGTGAAATACAAGTGAATCGGAAAACACGTCAGTATTATAGCGATTGTCAAGAGTTTAGCGATTAAACAGTGGTTTGAATCCCGATATCAACGCAAACAACACATCGCATACCGCGTGTCCGCCGCCACCAAAGCCCTGTCCATCACTACATCACTACATCACTACATCTTCAGCAACACATCACTGCAACACATCCGCCGCCGACGACAATGAATACACTGCTGTCGCGGACGAACGCCATCTTCGCGTTCACACTGTCTGTGTTGGCGTCGCTGACACTGATGTGCGCCCTCTCGACCACATTGAAAGAGTACAACCAATTGGTGTCCGTGAAGATCGTGGCGACCAAGAAGTTGGTGAAGAATGTGGCCGACTATTCGGCCGGAAGGGAGCGCAACGACTTGGGCTTCATTTCGTTCAATCTGGACGCAGACCTGACGCCCGCCTTCGACTGGAACACCAAACAGCTGTTCCTCTATATGACCGCTCACTACAAGACTCGCAACAATGCACTCAATCAGGTCGTGCTCTGGGATCACATCATACAGAGAGGAGAGCCCACGAAACTGCAGCTCCGGAACCAACACACGAAGTACTACTTCTGGGACGACGGCAACGGACTGAAGGCCAACGACAACGTGACGCTAACGCTGTCCCTCAATGTCATCCCCAACGCAGGCCTTCTGCCCATCTCTACCGTCCCGTCCATCCATTCCTTCTCCTTTCCCAACGAATACATCACTAAAAATGCATAACAAATGACACTAAAAATTAATTAATTAACTTTTTGTACCATTTATTTGTCATTTTTTAATTGATGTCTTTCTTCTCATTTCGATAATAAATAGTTTTATTTATTGGAAAACATTGTTTTGTTTGTAAATGTCTTTGTTTAATGATTTTACTCTATATTACAATGAGATTTAAGTAAGTGTTAGGTATTGTTAGCTTTGCCGGCGCTCTGGCCCTCGACCACCAGTTTATCGCTTTTATACAATCGGTTGATCACCGCTTGTCTGCGGATTATCTCCAGATTCTTGTGTCCGTCGGCAAGCATTCGGTGAACAGTGTCCGCATCGGTCACGCCTTTGGCCGCGCGGAACGCATCCCTCACGCGTCTGACCGCGTATTTGCGGTAAATATAGTCATCAAACTTATTGGATTCGCGGATCAGTTGCCGGTAAAGACTCAGCGCCGCGACACGACTGGCCATCGCTATCGAGTGTCAGATAGATATCGGTTAGACTGGGTATGACTGTTGCGGTATATATAGTCATCAAACTTATTGGATTCGCGGATCAGTTGCCGGTAAAGACTCAGCGCCGCGACACGACTGGCCATCGCTATCGAGTGTCAGATAGATATCGGTTAGACTGGGTATGACTGGACACCGATTATCTCGTATCACATCCGCAGACAAACAAAACAATCAACAAATAAAAAACTTTTTTTTTCAATTCAAAACTTAATTTTCATTCAAGTCTTTAGCAATCAATCAATGCTTTTGTGAAATCAAAAAAAATCTCCAAAAATATTATGAATTTAATAATTAGTACACAAATAACGTGTGGTTTTGCATACAAAACGTTTGGCAATGCATTGCATCACACAATGCATACAATGAATGCATTCATTGAGCGTTTGGTATCGATTATAAGTGGGGGCGGAATGTGTGGGCAATGTATGCGAACAGCACTACTGCAGCAAAAGGGGGCGAATTCAAGGCTACACTCGACGTGATGTATGGGTCGACCGGTTTTGGTGTAGATGTAGTGCTGCTATCAAATCGTACAACAAATACGCTATAATAAGCGTTACATAACTTCGTTCCCCGTATTTAGCGATGCATTCAATACAATGACATAAAAGTGTTAGAAAACTGTCCCCTAATAGGCATTATTGTTGTGATAATGTATAGAAACGATTGGCTATAGAGAGAGCGTGTGTGGAGACGGCCTCTCATTCTAGAAGTTTCTCCACTTTTCCCAACATTTATAGCGATAATAGATTCAGACATTCAATGCTTTCAAACAGTCATTCAATTGGTATTAGTTTTGGTTTGAAAAGCGATTTAAGTGTTCAATGAGTTTGCGATCACTTTTGCAGACATTTCCACACATTTAGTGAACCGACGATTGTTTGCACACAAAGTGTACACTCAATAACACATTCGCCTCACGAGTGGCCGGAACTGCTTGTTGTGCGGACACAACCCATCACTTGACACAACTCATTGACCACTACTTCCATTAACCGGTATTTTATTTTGTGAATCAATTAGTTTACTGTCAATCGACCCGTTGTTGCGGCCGTTTGTGTTAACCATAAGCTGATCCCATTGTTTACTTCTTCAGGTGTTACCTATCGTTGACAACGTTTATTACTAGACGTATCGATCGGTGGATCAATCAATTGAATCAATCGATCGCTTCCTTACACTTGTATTATATCTTAAGAATCGGTCGGAAAGACAGTAAAAGTCGTAACAATTCGTCGATTCCGGCGATCGATATCTTCCTTCTTCTCGCGTATAAATCCGTTTCAAAGAACTCATTCCGTCGACAGTTCGTCGCCCAGAGGTCTGTCGTGAGCCGTTGGCCGCCACCCGAAGTGTCCGATCGCTAATATCGATACCATTTTCTCTCTCCCTCTCTGTCCCAACCGATCGCAGACTTATTCGGAAACGATTACTCCCTATTGGAACAGATAGCGATGGCCACATCCGGTCCACCCGTCTCTACGATACCCGCCATCTGCGGTCTGGACGTCGGCTCCGAGAACTCGTACATCGCTGTCGCGCGCGCGGGAGGTATTGAGATCCTGTTGAATGAGTACAGCCAACGGTCGACTCCCGCGTACGTCGGCTTCGGGCAGAATCAGCGCGAGTTGGGTGTGTCGGCCAAACTCAAACAGGCCATGAATCTGAGCAACACGTGCTTTGCTCCCAACCGACTCATCGGCAAACAGATGAAAGAGTTGACCGAAGAGTTCCCCTTTGCAGTGGAACAGACGGCTAACGGCGAGATCGCTGTCCGCGTGTGGCATAACGGCGAAGAGCATGTGTTTACCGCCGTTCAGGTGATGGCTATGCTGTTGACGAAACTGAAACAGGTCTCGTCCAACGCCATCGACTGTGTACTCAATTGTCCCAATTATTTCACGGACTCTGAGCGCCGGGCGCTGATGGACGCGGCACTCATCGCCGGTCTCAACCCAATTAAGATCATACCCGACACAACGGCCATCGCTCTCTACTACGGCTTCTATAGAGCGCCGGTTGCGGGTCAGGACACGACGATCGCGGCGTTTGTGACCATCGGTAACAGCTCTACCCAGTGTTCGGTTGTGTTGTTTAACCACAAGGAGAATAACATGAAAGTGTTGGCCGTTGAGTACGACCGCGACTGCGGCGGCAAACACTTTGACGAAATACTGGCCAATCATTTCATCGCCGAACAGAAGCTAAAGCTAAACAAGAGGTCACGCTTTCGGCTGATAGCGGAGTGCGAGAAACTGAAGAAACAGATGAGCGCCAACTCTAACGATCTGCCCATCAATGTTGAGTGTCTGTACGACGAGAAGGACTTCTCGGCGCGTATGGATCGCATACTCTTTGAACAATTGGCTCAACCCGTGTTCCAGAAGATTAACGACGTGTTTGTCCGGGCGTTCAACTCAGCCAACGATAAGTTCAATACAGACACCGGCGGCAAATTGGGTGACTTCCGGGTCGACGTGTGCGAGATTGTGGGCGGAACCAGTCGTATACCGGCCATCAAACGGATGTCCAAAACGATATTTGGCGTCGACGTGACGACAACCCTCAACGCCGATGAGGCCGTATCGCGCGGTTGCGCCCTTCAGAGCGCTATACTCGCGCCCACCTATAAGGTCGCCCGACAGCTCCAGATCCTGGACTTCGCGCCCTTTCAGATCGACTTCCGGTACTGGACTTCGATGGACGGCAACGAGTCGGACGCGAAGGCCGTGCGGAGTCTGTTCCCTCGCGGACACCCCATTCCCTTCACAAAACAGGTGTCAATCAATTGTCAATCGCTTCCAATGATAGCGGCCTTCGATTACGTGAACGATGCGAACCAAATCGTGCCGATCGGCGAATACAAGATCTATTCCGAGCGCAACGACGTCTCCATTCAGAAGAATAAACTCCAATTCCGACTCCGTCTCGACCCGAACGGTGTGGCAGTCATTCATTCCGTTTCCGTTACGATCGACGCCAAGAAGAACGGCCCGAACGACAGTCAATCGGACGACACGGACACCAGTAGTAACCAGAACTCCGCGCAACCCATGGAGACGGACGACTCGCCGGCGCCGCCGCCCGCAGACAATAATGAGAACTCGACGAACAATAAGGAACAACAGGACGGCTCCGACCAGAAGGCCGACGACAAGAAGAGCAAAAAGCCCAAAACAGAGACGATATACTTACAGGTGGAGCCCATTTGGGTGAGAGGGAAGTTGACGGACACTGAAATACAAAAGTTCCGGGAAATTGAGTCGAATCTGATTCTGGCCGACAAGAACTGGAAGGAGAAGACGGACGCCAAGAATGCGTTGGAAGAGTATATATACGAGTGGAGAGACAAACTGGAAGGCGGCGGATACGACCCCTTCGTTGAGGCCGACGACAAGACTGTGTTTATGACTGATCTGTCAGCCGGTGAGCAGTGGCTCTACGAACAGGAGGACAATGGAGTCGTTCACAGCAAAAGCGTATACGAAGAACGACTCCAGAAGATGAAGGACTCCTACAGTCAGGGAATACTCTATAGGAAACGCGAGTTTGAGACGAGACCATCACTAATGGAACAGTTAGGCCGACATTTGCAACAGTCGAGAAAAATGGTTGAAACTCAGGAGGAAGTGGAGAAGGAGTTAATCAAGAAGTTGGAGACACAGATCGAAGAGAAGCAGAAGTGGTTGGAAGCGTCTCACGCGGCCTTCAACGCCCTCCGGACGACACACAACCCGACCATCACTTGCGACGAGATTCGCAAACAGACGGACGAACTCGACGTTATTGTCCGCCAGATATATAACGACAGACATCGGAGGTCTGAGGAGAAGAAACGACAGGCGGAGGCGGCGGCTAAAGCGGCGGCCAATCCTCCGCCGCCCACGCCTTCAAACAACGGCGACCAGAAGGCGGCCGACGAGACGAAGAGTCAAACGACTGGTGCGGCCGATGAGCCGCAAATGGAAGTGGACGGCGACATCCATCCAACCATCTAAAGACCTAAACAACTAATTTATTTTTAATTAATTAATTAATTCCTTTAACCATAAGATTTAAATGTTTTGTTTCTCTTTTTCTATAATTGAATTTGAAAATCAGTTGTGAAACGACTTATTAGTAGTTTTTATTAAAAGTTTAATTAATTGATTAATTATTTAGTTTCTAGAGTTTCGATAGTTTTTCGATTCTTTTATTTTCATAACATTTATATAAACAGAAAACCTATTATTATTTCCTTTTAATTGTTTTATTTCTGCTCTAATTTTTTGTTTAACAAATATTTATGTTTTTGTTTCGTTTACTACCAAAGAATTAGACTTTAATTATAATTTAGGCATTAATTGTACACATCATTAACGAAGAAGAAACGGGCGCTTTAGCTGAGCACTGATAGGTCGACACAACGTGTGTTTCAAATTATATAAATATAACTTTATGTATATTTTGACGCACTTTCACTACTGTTTAATAAAAATGTTTATCAATAAATGTGTTGTTTTTATTGTCATTTAATTTTAATTGTGAATTTAGCGTTAATTACATGTTTGAATTAAAAACTTCATTCATATTGAGTGCATATTAATATGAATACAGCAATAGGCAGGGGAGGGGAGGAGTGTATGGATGGCAGCACCTGTACTGACGCCTCGCGTGACAAAAGCTAATGTTAAACATAGCGATGCATACAATTAACTAAAACTATAAATTTATTGATTAACTATTAAATCTTTAATTAAAACATATAACAAAACACAAAAATCGATGGCAAATAAGGTGTAGAATTGTGTGACATTAAACAAATTTAGCCCAAATGCGTTTAATGAGCGTACATTACAATTCGCATGGGTTACTCACTGTAGCGTAATATAAGTTGATGGTGGTGGGATGTTGGCTGGTATGGCCATGGTAGATCACTGCTCAGGTCTCCCCACATTACACGTAATAATCTTTCGCCTTTTACTAAAGATTACCGTGCGGGGGGACAACTAAATGAGCCTTTAACGGCAATTTTTGTACGGCCTATTTCGTATAGGCTTATTTTCTAATCCAAAAATAGACATGCACAATTAATTCTACACATATTCTCACTGCTCATTATAATTCTACCTTTATGTCTATGCAGTGCATTACTGTATTCAATACAGTACTGTATTATTGAGTGTTAATTATGTAATTTTTGGTGACATAACTATAGCGTGTTTTGCGTAGACTTTCATTTCCTCTATATTTTACGTTTACTTGAATTTGATATCAATTTTAACAAAACTTTTATTAAAGTTATTTAACAATTATTTGGATATTTGTAAGCGATATGAATGACAAAATACACAATCACTTAATCACACACACAATCACTTTCATGGTTTGCCTCCGAGAAGAAATCGTTGAAACTCTTTGGGATCAGTTCTGTATCTCTTGAGCTCTACCCCTTCCCAGTGGCGGACATCGAGATTGGAGAATATATTAGTGGTTATCTCCTGAAGAACCGCTTTCTCCTTCTCATTCAATCCGTTGATCATAACCTCTAAATTGGCTTTCAATGCGTTCTCACTATTCAAACGAAATACAAATAATTGAAATTAATTCCCAAATATAAAAACAATTGTCAAATGATTAACAAACGAAAATCACTGACTCTTCCATTCCTATTAAGTGAGTGTCGATTCCCTTCTGTTGTAACGCATAATAAACCGATAGTTTAGCGATATTTACGTTACGATCCTTTATATACGTGTGGAAAGAGTGGCCGCGAGTCGGCACACAGACTATTAGTTAGATTACATACTGAACATTGAGACCAAACTGATGGTCGATCTGCACTTACATTACAATAGGTGACGGCCCGAGAACAGGCCTCCTTAATGGTAGTGTGAGCCGCGTGCCAATACGGCACATGATTGCCCGGGGTTAACAGACCCATTCCCAACACAGCAGCGTTTATAACGCCCAACTTTTGATCCTGGGTGTTTTGTTGTTTTTGCCGTTTCACACAATTTATACATTAATACATAATTGTTTTAAATGAATGTTTCAAACCTTAAAGAAAGGCAAGTATTGAAGCAATGTTTGGTCGAAAGGTGTGATCCGACAGTAAGACAACACGACATCGAGTTTCACTTCACTTCTCTCTACGATTTCTCTGTAATTATAATTATTATTTAAATTTTAGTTTATGTGAAAATGAAAGCAAAAATAAAAATCAATGATTTCCGGCAAAACTAAAACACACTTTAATGTGTGTAATGGATATCCAGTGATACCAATGTATTTCACTTTCTTCTGCTGCCGAAGTTTGTCGAGCGCTGGAAGTGTTTCGTTGATCACGATATCGATGTCATCGGAATACTCGACGTCGTGAACCTTAACCGCAAATTCAACCGTAAAAATGCTATCAATTGGTGGGAAAAATAATTAAAGTATTGAATAATACGTGAAGCAAATCCAAGTAATCGACGCCGAGTTTCTTCAGACTCAACTCAAATGACTGAACGATCCATTCGGACGAGTAATCAAAAGTACAGTCGGGTTTTCGGCCCACTTTTGTGGCCAAATAGTAGGCATTGCGGGGAATGCCTTCCAATGCCTGTTATTGTAATTCAATGAATAAGTTATCATTATTATAGATATCATACATTCATTTAACATTATTATTAAGATAATAATAACACGAATTGAAGTATTGAAGTGACACACCTTTCCCAACACAAGTTCCGCTTTCCCACACCCATAGAAAGGCGAGGTATCGATGAAATTGATTCCCGACTGTATTGTCTTACGGATCGATTGGACAACGTTTTGATAGCCGCTTAAGAGTTGGGAACCGTCGGCGCTAAACACCAGATCCTTACTGACGTGTGCGCCACCTTTCATGGTTATGGTTGTTATCATTGGATTATAATTGCATTATAATTGATATTATGATTGTCAACAAATTGTATACACAATCGGCAATACCTAAGCTAAGAGTGGACACAAACATATCGGTCAGACCGAGGCGTCTGTACTCCAACTGTTCGGACGTTCGCCTATCCGTCCACTCGGGTATGAATGTCGGCGGAAGTGATGACATTATTGTTGATCAAAAATTAATATTAATTTCTTGAATAACACTTTTCAATGACAGATATTTTTGATGAAAAAGTTATTTGAATGCTTTAATAGAAGCGAATTAAATGTGTTTATCATTTAAGACCAGATTAGATAAGAAAATATTTAAACCGCTATTTTTCACATACTTTTAAAAAGTATTTTTTTAAATAATCGTTTAATTATTGATAGTTTTATCACTTCATATACAGTAATTCAACATTTATTAAATATGGTAACATAAATAGGATATTAAATATGATTTTAATTCATATTGCCTTAAAAATTCCAATACAAATTAAATTACCATAAAATATATCACAAATGTTTTGTAATTATCGTATAGTTTGTTGTAATGCCAGTAGACCTTTAAGTTAAATATTAATAATTATCATTATCATACAACTGTGTATTTTGCTATGCCATCATATTTTATAAAAACATGTTAATTCATAATTTGTCAATTTAAAAGCATTTTAAACTCATTTGAATTAATAAAAAAAATATTTCATTTTAATAGTAGTTTAATTCATATTACAGAAGTATAAAAGAAAATCAACATGATGAGTTATCATTGATAATTTTATACATCACTTAAGATTGTATCTTAAGATCTATTATTCATTTGTTGATCCACTCAATCGTCACCATCGCTGAGCACTTCCAAGCAATTCCTCCGATGACTATAAATGGATTAGCAATTGATTGATTTGTTTGAGTGTTTCCAGAATGTGGTTCAAAACTTTCATAAATCTATTTCATTACATATTTCTATTACACATTACATAAATGGCATAAATCTATTAATATCTCGATTGTCAGATAATTTTTACATTAATTATACGAGTCGTCAGTGAAAAGTAATAAAACAACGATTTTTTCATTACAATTGCGTTAAAAAATCATAATTTTATTCAGATATTAAAAATAGTTTTTTGATAAATGAAATAAAATTTGAAACTGTTTCACATTTGTTTCGTTTTATTTAAGTTTTTGCTGTTATTATTTGGGAGTTATTATCATATTTTGGCACAAATTCATTGAATGTCTAAATATTTAATTTTTCAAATTAAATACAAGAATTCATTTGTGGAGGAAGTATAGGGGCATTGATTTGTGACATTTATATCGTAAAAATACACACAAAATGGTTTAGTTGTGAGGATTTTGTTTAGGAATATATCTTATGAGGCCATTGAATACACAGTGAATTGGTTGGGCGGGGGGTCTGGAGGTGGTTAGGGGTGGAGGGGTTGGTGTTGTTGTGATTGTTGTTGTTGTTTGTCTGTATATATAATTTATATATGCATATAATGTATGTATACCTCCTGCACATCATTTAAAAAACAATAATTAGAAAACAATTTGTTTAAAAACATTTAAATACACTTTTGAGGACAATATATATAATTGTTTTTGAAGTAAAGCCTCAAAAAGATATTTAATTAACTCTTAATTAGACAAATAAATCATTAAAATAATAAAAACATTTAATTACATTTAAAACACATTATATCAAAACCGGCAAAAAAGCTTAAAAATCAGTAATAATTCAAAAAATACTTGACATTCAATATGCGAATCAAAACTTTTGGATAAAACAAGAAATTTTGTCAAAAAATTATATAAAATAATAATAATTAATAAAGAGATTTGTGTTTTTGATTTGATTTTAAGTATATTTCAATATTTAGAGTTTAGTCTTCGTTTAATTGTAGCGACTTTTGGCTGATCTAACAGACCATTGATGGGCGGCGGAGGCGGCGGCGGTGGACACCCGTTGCCATTCATATTGCCATTCATGTTGAGTGCTGTCAATCGTTCAGAGAGTTCCCGTTCAGTGAGCGATCCGTTGCGGGTGTGCATCGACTTCGAGCCAGAGTTGTGGCCGCCGTTCATGTGATAGTGGATGGCGTCCATCGGATGGTGTGGTGTCTCGTGATTGCCATTCATTGTGAGCACCGATGAGTCGCCGCCGTTATGCTGTGCGTCAAACTGAAGATTCGTTAGACTATTACTCCTGGATCTGTGCTCTTGTCTGATGGAGTAGGAGAAGGCCCTCTCATTCAGGTGTCCCTTCTTCTTGTATATACCGGTGTTGAACGGAGAGTCCATCTCTCCAGACGACGGCGAAGACTTGTTCCGATCCTTTGAGCCCTTCTTCGCCGACCGCTCGTCGAAGTGATTGCCGTTCATGTGATGGTCGCCTCTCTGAGACACCGACCGCTGAGTTGTGCCGAAGTGCAGGTCAGACGGCGGCGGACCGTAATGTTGGCCGTTGTGTATAATAAATGGCTGATCGGAATGCATGGCATAGTTGGCCATTGGAGTGATCGGACGCATGGATGGTATGTAAATGGGCTCGTCGTTGGGCGACAGTAGTATTGGCTGCGGATATCCGTCGGGAATGAAGCCGTGATGTGGACTCATATTCATGTGCGGCGGAAAGGGTGGCGGAGGCGGCGGTACTGGCGGTCGACGGCTCGTCATATGTCTCCTGCCATCCGAGTAGAGAGTGCCGGCATATATGGCGTGAGCGGGAGATTGCGGGTGCATGTGATGTGGCGGTGGCATCACATTCACGGGGTATCCATTGGCTATAATGTGTGGTCCGGGCATCGGTTGTCCGTAGAAGGGCTGGCCTTTGTATTTGTGTTTCTTCTTCAAAGTGCTCTCCTTTTTCTCCTTCTTCGACATCTTCTTGTTCTTCACGAGCGTTAAAGAGGGCGGCAGTGATGGCGGCAGAGGTGGTGGCGGAGCGCTGCACGGGATCTGTATTTGTCGTGGTTTGGGCGGCTTCGGCACCATTATCGTAGAGTTGGCTGCATTTGAGCGCATACTTCTCAACGTTGCACTTCCGTCGTGATAGACGACCTCCCGTTCCAGAGGTGCGGATCCGTTCCACACCTTATAGTTCTCCTCTTCGTGGGAGTGACTGATGATAGACGCGGCGGACGGAGTGCGCGGTCGAGAGTGACCGCCGTTTCCGTTGATCATAGAGTGGCCTCCATTGCCATTCATAGTCGAGTGACCATTGGTTAGGCCGGAGTCGACCACATCGTCGTGATGTGAACCGCCAGCTCCAGCCGAAGAGTCGGTGTTGGATCTGTTGCGCCACTCTTCGACCTTCTCGACGGTGTCCAACGCCGATATACTCCTGGATCGGCGCCGATCGAGCTGTTCGTACGGACTCTCGCTGTCGATCTGTTTGGCGTGAATGGTGTCGGCGTAGGCGTGGAAACAGCACCGGACGAGTGCGTTGGCCGCCGCCTCCTTCTTGCAGATGAAAGCGTGACACTCAAGCACTTTGATGCCAGTCGTGCGCCGAAGAATGCACGCGAAGAGCGGCGGGTGACTGGTGTTGGCGTATCGCGAGAACGGACTGTCAAGAGGTAAGAATTTGGCCACTTTTTCGCCGCCGAGAGTGGAAGTGGCGGCCGTTGACGACGCGGGCGGCGGATCCGCACCGCCATTGAGAGCGGCGATTGGGTTCGCAGAGGTGTTGTGCGGACCCGAGTGTTGTCCTCCGCGGGGAACCGACACGAATCGGACGGCAGCGCAATAGTGGAGGGACTCGATGGGGTGGAAGCGCTTCACTTGATTACCTTGGTCATCCACGTTCTCAACCAATATACCATTGCTCCACACACTGAGCCACGAGTCAATACCTCCGCCTCCGTTGGCCACTAATCCCTGGTCCGGATAGAGGTCTCGGAGGGGCTCCTGAATGCCCTGAAGACCGTCTTTCGTGATGTGAGGCACAGCTGAACCCAAATACATGACACGACACCGACATATTGGCGTCGTTGGCGAGTCTTCACTTCCCTTTCCCATCACTAGAACTGATACTATCTGTCCATCACTTCACTGTGTATTGCAGTTAACATGTGTTTCAATAGACGAACCAAAGGGTGAAACACAACAAATCAAAACACAATTAACAAAACTTTTTGTGAGACAATTAAAAGCCAACGAAAAAAAGTTTTCGTTTCGCAGTGAATGTCATTTTGAGTGTTGAGTTGGCTTTGCGTTTGGGATTTGGTTGGAGAGGGAGAGAGCGATAGAGTCGGCTCCTAATAACGAGAATACCTGTGCTGTGAAACAACAGCCAGAATGAGCTGACGAGGAGAGGGATTGGGAGTGCAGGTGAACACAGCCATCAAACCAAGTTCCTATCCCTCTCTCCCAAATCATACCATTATATTCTACGTAGTGTCAGTGCGAGAGAGCGAGAGAGAGAGAGAGAGAGAGAGAGAGAGATACACTTGTGAGGAAAACCAGTTTTTGGTTGCGCTGTCTTGTGAACCAAAATACGACTGGTTTTAAGGGGATGTTAACGACCGGATTGTGGCTAATAATCGCATTCCATGAGTTGCCCCATTGGCGCACAAAACACCAAATGTGCCCCAAGACGAGCACTCATACCATTCCCTATACTCTACCCCATGCTATACCCCATACTATACCCCAAACCCGTACCATCAATACTATACTTTTACACTATTCTTGTACTCATGTTCTTATGTACACTCTGTTTACTCAAACATACCTGTGCTCTTCCACAAGCCTATGCCTAACAAAATTACCACTACTACCAGTGCACACATTCATCTCTACCTTTGTCTATCTCTATACTTCCCTCCCCTACCCCTTGGCTTTACCCGATCATTGACTAAACATACTATGCATTTATATATAAGATTTTATATCTAATATTAAGATTCAATTTGAAAGCATCCGAATAATGAGCGCCTCGTTTCGGATCATGACTTTCATCTCAATAATATTTTCGGTGTTATATTCAAGTTTTTTATCCGAGATATGAGTTATACTGAAGTTTTTTTTCAGTGCATTTTTTCTTGTTATGTGCAGAAATTAAATTAATTTTTATCTAAATCTAACGATATTTCCACACATTATTCTCAATACAATTTATAACTTATTATTTATGGTTTGTTGTAATGCATAACATGTTTGGCATATTTAGTTAAGTAATAGTTTTCCTCAAAAAACATTTAACTCATGTATTGTTTTATTTATTAATATAATTAATATTAACACAAAAAAATAATAAGTCTTAAACTATTTGTGATTTATTTT